CTTCCACCTCATTCAGCGAAAAGCCAAAGCCTTAACCATGACCTCTAAGGCCCCAGGTGATCTGGCCCAGCCACCTCTCTGCCCTCATCAGGCCTCGGCTCTTGTCCTCTCCGTGGCCCCGGATCCTATCTTAAATGCTGCCTTCCGGTGCCCTCCCTGGCCACGTATTAAACCAGACACTTTTGTGACCCCCACCCCCAGCCCACTCCCAAAGCACTGCTGCCTCTTCCCTCTTGATTCCCCTCTGATACCACTTAGCATCATCTGGCAGCCTATAAATTTTACTTACTGATTTTTATTTATATCTCCCTGCCCCTTCCCCACTAGAATGTGGACATTTGTCACTTTTGTCTGTTTTGTTCACTGGTATATCCCCAGTGCCTACAACAGTGTCTAGCATGTAGCAGGTACTCGATACCTGTGGAATGAATGAATGAAGGGCCTACATACTAACAGGTTAGACTGACGAGCCCTGGGAGTCAGTTCCTGTGATCCTTGTAACAGCCCCTGCAAACCTAGTCTTTTCCTCCCCATTCTAAGATAAGGAGAGACCGAATCTCTGAGTGGTTAGTTAAGGGATTTGGCTGAGAACGCAGAGCTAGGCTCAGGCACCAGTCTGCCCAGTTCCAAAGACTGTTCTTTTCTGCCTGTGGCTGCCTTCAAACTGTCTTACTATGACAAACGTGACGTTAACTCACTTTCTTTATTGTAACCAGCAAATGCTTTTGCTTAAGGATTTTCCCAAATCGGCCCAGAATCTGAGGTCCAGTTCACCCAAAAGGATCAAGGGGAGCTGATGCCCTCAAAGCCAGGAAGAAATTCTACCACCAGACTCAGGAAGCCCCCATCAGCCAAAGGAAGGAAAGGACCCTCCTTCAAACATTTCTCTGAACCCCAAAGAAGAGCCACAGTAATTCTGGTTTTGTTTCATCTTTTTCTTTACTTTATATTGTTATGTTCCTGACCAATCTCTCTGACCTTTTCAAGTCCGTGTGACCTTTTGCCAGCAATGGCAATTACTAACCATGTGGTTTCTTGGGCAGAATCTATCTCTCATGAGCTTCCCAAAACCAAACCTGCACACGGACCCATGGACCACCGTGCCACACACAACCCACTCCCCCAAAAGCTGCATAATGACTGAGGCTCAGGCCCCAGGGACCAGGCCCTGGGAAGGAAGCCAAGTTTGTGGGGCTGTGAAGGTAAGATGGGCCTGGGCCACCAAAGCCCATCTAGAGGCCACCACAGTGTGAGCTGTCCCTCCTCCTCCTCGACTCATCACTCTCAATCCCATTACTTCGCCTGTTTTCTTCAAATCACTTCTCACTCTGAAGCTATCCCATTTATTGATTTCTGTATTTGCCATTGCCGGTCTCTTCAGAAGAGGTTCAGTACGTGAGGATTGGAGCTTGGTCAGAGCTGCTCACTCACCCCTGTTCTGTTCCCGGCACAGGTGGGCACACAAATGTTGGCTGAATGAAGGAGTAAATGAAACAGAAAATAAGTGGGATCTGAAGGAAAAGGACCAGGAGGCTTGCAAATGAACCCATTTAACCCTAACATCAACCTGCCCAGAAGGTATTTTATGCCTACACAGCTGGGAAGTGACAAAGTAGACCCAGGACTGTCCCAACTCCAAGAAGAAATGAGAAAATCCCGCAGAGAAGGAGAGGAGAAGCAAGAGGACAAGCTGGTAAGCCTTACAGGAAGGGCAATGTCAAGCTGCCATCAAGGCCCATGGGCCTGCACACCATTTTCCTCAAATGCTTAATTAGAGAAGAGGCAACATTTTCTACCGAGCTGAGCCCAGATAGGTCTATGCCTCCCTCCATGCCCCTAGGAGAGTCATGGTACCTGCATCCCACCCCCCCACCCCCGGCCTCCGGGGGAACCTCTGCCCAAAGCAAGGTACCATAGTTGAGAATGTTCAAAATGAAGTTCTTATTTCAAGGCACTAACACCATAAAAGACACAATCATAAACCACTCTTGAACAAGACACTTGACATCCCTCTCCAATTCTGGGTAGTTTGAGGTTAGAAGGTTGAAAATAGCGTGATGTCCTTTCTTAGAGCAGGGTCTTCCATTCATTCATTCTTTCATTCGTTTGTTCAGCCAACATTTGCTCACCCAGCCTCGAGCTGCCAGGGATGAAAGGACACAAAACCTCTGCCCTCTCCCCAGTACATTGGTGCCCGCAGTTTTGGCGGGTACTGAAAGACCAGCAAATATTAAAGATACTTCCTTCCAAAACAAATAAGGCCACGTGGAGCTGCGCTCTGAAATGGGATTTTGGATGCAATTTTTATTTGATTGGGTACAAGAACCAATTCAGTCAGCTGGGCCATAGACTAACTCCAAGCAGCAGGCTCCTACTCAGTGGCTCCCTCCAACCCCTTCCCGCTGTGGGCACCAAACCCCTAGGCCCCCCAACCCCATTCTTCAACCACATTCCCACCTCTCTCTACCATATGCTCTCTCTGACTCTGTTTCCCCTATATTCCCAAACCCGACCTCTCTAGGTCCACAGCTTTGACATTCTACTCTCTGAACCCCAGAGCACACATCTCCCCTGCCTTCCCCCACCACCCTCTATACTCACCCCAAGTCTGAGCTTCCACCTGAAGCCCTTTGAACGTCATGTGTTTACAACCCATATTTCCCAGGGGTCTCTGTTCGACACCACCCCCCCAGTACAGCATACGCACACCCTGTAATCCCCTGCACACTTCCCGGCCGTGCCCCGGGGGAGCACTCTCCCCCATCGCCCCCAACTTCTTAAGACCCGAAGGCCGCCCGGGCCCCTGGGATCTCGCTCGGGCAGCCGGCTCCTTGAGCCCCCGGACGCGCTGACCCCGCAGGAGCCCGCCCGCACGCCGGAACTCTGGGACGCCGGGCACTGCCCTGGCCCGCCGGCCGCCCCGACCGCGTGACGCCCGGGACCCGGGGCTTCCCAGGCCCCGGCCCCACGCACCTCCCCGGCGTGGCCCCCGCGATCCCGGCCGCGCCCCTGCCCGCACCCCGCCGCGCCTCCCGGGCCCGGCCCGGCCGGGAGGAGAGCGCGGTGCCCCCTGCAGCCCAGGCCGGCGCGCCCGGCGCCTACCGTTGGCGATGAGCTTGGCCGACAGCTGCTTGACGAGCTCGGGGATCCGCTCCCACTGGCACTCGGAGCGGCAGCGCTCGATCTCCGTCTCGAGCCGCGAGCCCGCCTTCCTGGTCGCCATCGCGGCCTGGCCGGGCCCGGCCCGCCCGCCCGCAGGCCCCGCAGGCCCCGCCGCCGCCGCCCGGGCGCCCCCGCCGCCGCCTCCCGCTGCCGCCGCGGGCGCGGGCTCCGGCTCCCGGCTCCGCGGCGTAACGGGAGCGCCGGCTGGGGAAGGGGCGGGGAGGCGGGCGGCGGCGGCGGGCGGCGGCGGGGCCCCGGGCGCCGCGAGGAGCGGCCCCTGCCGGCCAGGGCCGGAGCGGCAGCCAGGCGGGGGCCGGGGCCGGGGCCGGGGCCGGGGCCGGGCTGGGGGAAGCGCGAGGCCAAGGAGGGGCGAGGTGTGGTGGAGGCCAGGGAGGGGAGGGAGGCCCGCGAGAGGGACGCGGAGTGGGACAGGGGCGGGGGCTGGGGTCGAGACCCGAGGGAGAAGGGCTGGGGGAGCGGCCGCCGTGCAGGCAGGTGAGGAGGGGCGGGGGGTGAGGCGTGAGGGCCCGGCAGGCAGGATGGTCTGGGAGAAACTGCGAGGGGGCGGATGGTAATGAGGCCTAAAAGGGGCAGTGACCCTGGGGAAGGTCACCGGCCAGGCAGAACTAGTGCGCCTAGGGCCTGGTGTGAGGCGGTGCAGGGGCGGGGATAGGCCTGCCTGAGCTTGTCCCGCCATCTCAGATTTCAAGTAGATCCCCTGAGCCTGGGTTGGCCAGTCCCCCTGAGCAGGCCCCTCATGCTCCTGGCGGCCTCAGCCCCCAACCAGATGAGGTGGGCGGGGAGTCCTCCATCTCAGGCCCGAACAGCACCTGCCCAGGGGCTCCCCAACTGACTGCCGAGTTGCACTGAGCCAGGCAAGGACTGCTAGCAGCTTAGATGCCCGCTTTCTTGCCCCTCTGAGGGGGATGCAGAGTCACCAGTGGGCTCCGCAGACTGAGAGCTGGGGGCAGGTGTCCAAGGTGTGCATTCTTTCAGTTACTTGATAACTATGTAGGGATTACCTGCTGTGTCCTAGCTACTGTTTTAGATGCTGGCAATACAGTGCAGAACTGAACAGACAAAATGTTTGCCATGGTAGAGCTTTCATGCCAGTCAGGGGAATAAATAAACAAAATAAAGTACTAAGTTAGAAAGTAAAGATGGTTACTTGAAGAAATAGAGGAAAACCGAATGAGGAGAATGAAGAGTCGAGGGCCAAGGGGTGTGGAAGATGTTGCAATGTTAATGGGATGTTAGCAACAACTCATGGAAGTGACATTTGATGAGGACTCAAAGAGGGTGAGAGAGAGCACGAGGCTGTCTCTGGGAGAAGAGCATTCTTGGCAGAGGAAACAGCCATGCAAAGGCCCTGTGGTGAGAGCAGAAGACCAAAGAGACCAGAGTGGTTGGAGTGTGGTGAGGGAGGCGAGGTGACACAGGAGAGCTAAGAGGTAGGAGGAGGAGTTTCAGTTCTTGGCAGGCCTTGTGGGCCATTATAAAGACCTTGGCGTTTACTCTGGTGAAATGGGAGGCCCATGAAGGACTTGACCTATATTTTAGGACTACGACTGTGGCAGTTGTGCTGAGGATCCCGCCAGTAGCTCAGGAGAGGGCTGGTTGTGGCTACACCAGGGTGATCGCTGGTGCTGGGGTGACGATGTTGGATTCTGGACACGCATGCAAGGATGGAGCTCTGGAACACCAAGGGTGAGGAAGCACTGTCATCATCAGCATTGCCCCTTCCGGGTGCCTCACTCCAGCTTTCCAAGAGTGTCACGCAGGTTTGTCCATCTCTTATCTCCTCAGCAGCTGCGGGAGAACAGACCTTGTGGACGGCAGTTCACCATGAGGTAGCTGAAATGAGATATTGGATGTGAGGAGGGAAGGTTAGGAGATAACTTTGGCCATGACCAGCACAACCTTCAGGCACCCCCAACCTCAAAATTTGACCTGAAGGGTCTCAGATGCCGGGGACAGCTGCAGGAAGGGGATATGTTAAAGTTTTAGCAGGGACCCTTTTGTACCTTGTCCCTTTGGTTCCATCAAGCGGGAAGAGCAGGAAGGGGAGAAGGAATCTCCACAGTAACTATTTCCCCTCCCTCTCAAAAGCCTCATATTCTCCTGTCAGCTCTCACATGGAGATCTGTCTTTCTAGATATTTGCCTGGAATGTTCTCTCCCCTCTGACCTAGGAGGGACATTCCTGTGCATTCTTGGAGACTGAGGCCCAGGAGCCTAGCTCCACAGCTGACAGATCCTGTGGACCCCCAGAAGTGCTATCTCCCTCTGTGACAGGGCTCTGTAGTGACGAGTGTCACTCAGCCTCAGCCGCGACGCTGTGATGTGACCGCTGCTGTTCCTTCCGTGCCCCCACCAGCTGATAGGTTCCAAGACAAGGCCTCTGTCTTCATGAGGGCAGAATGGAGCCTGAACCCTGTCTCAGGGGGTGCTGCCTGGCCAGTGGCATTTAACCTCTCCGTCCCTCACCTGCTCACAGCTCTTCAGGTAGAACACCTACCCCCCCACAGAGCTGGTTGAGAAGTCAGTGCTTTAAGCAAAGCACTTAAAATTTACTACACCATAAGAATACAAAAAACGTGAGCTCTCATTCTGCATCTCTGTCCCCCTTGCACCCACAACACAGCGGCTTGAGTGAAAGAGTGAATGAATGAGGTGGGAGATCCCCAAGGTCTGGAATCAGCCTGCAAATATTTTCCTTCAGGACTTCTCAGAACAATTAGAATCTGTGATGATGTCTGAGGCGTCCATCTTCACGGCAGACCACCCTGGGAATAGCAGACGCCAACAGAGTACTCAAGGCCATTTGCTTGAGTCCTGGGGTCGCTGGGCAGAGGTTTCAGGAGCAGAAGCTACCAAATATTGTCAGCCTGACCTGCCCAGAGAAAGAACCGCGCAGAGCCCTGGATGGGCCCTGCAGTCCCTGGACTCAGTCTCACCTCTGTACCATTTTGGTCCTCACCCACGGCCCAGGCTGCTCTGGCAGCTTCTGTGGCAGCCCTGGAGGCATTCAAAAGATGGCATGTGGAGAAGTTCCAGACTGTTTTCCAGGTAAGTTTACCTGCAGGTGGCCTTCAGGGAAATTCAGGAGTAGGAAGTCATTGGTGCTAATAATAGTAATTAAGCCAACATCTTTTTTCCAGACACTGGTATTACAGGTTTGACAAGGATGTGAAAAATCACAGCCTGTAGGCCAAACCCAGCCCTGAGGCCTGCCGATGCCCAGAAGTGGAAGATGGCTCAGAGAGTATAACTCCTGCTAATCCCTAGAGCAAATCTGGCTTACCAGGAGCAGTGGGGACAGGCTAAAGGCTCAGAGCAAAGGTCAGTGCAAATGGGGGTGCCTCTGGGACCTGGAAACCTCCCAGTCCTCTTCCCCCTGAAAGCCTGGGTCTCCTTTGCAACTAGAATAGGAGATGAGGGAGTAGTGGGGGAGGGTGCTTGAGGTCTGGGCTGGGGTGGGTTGGGGGAAGCTCTAGTGGCTTCCCTCAGCTTCTCTTCCAGGAGGAGAAGGCAAGAAGAGGGGCAAGGGCCCGTGCCCTGGACCTCCCTCATCCAGGAAGGCTCTCCTCCAAATACCCATGTGGTCCTCTTCCCTTCCTCGTGTCTCTGTCCCAAGATCACCTCCTCAGGGAGGCCTTCCCCAACCACCTTATCTAAACCCACTCCCTGTCATTCCCTTCACTCCCTATCCTTCTGTTCTGTTGTGGTTTTTGCCTTCTTTCTTGATTTCTAGGTATTAATTCAGTGTTTATTGTCACTCTCCCGTCACTCAAATGTAGCCTCCATGAGGGCAGAGGGTTTTGTGGGATTTTGTCGTTGGTGCTCCCCAGATATTTGCTGAGAGGACGAATGAGTAGAAGGAAGGTAGTGGGTCTGCGCTGGATGGGTGAACTCGAGGCCCCGGACATCCCAGGAGACAGGCCCGCAGAAGTGGGAATCAGCTTGCTAAAGCCAGTGGTTCAGACGGAAGGGGCCGATGGGAATCCAGAAGGGACAAAGGACCAAGGCCTCAGCATGCTGACAGAACGTCACTTCTAACCTTTGACCTGAGCATGCTGGGTGGCAGTCCTGTGGTCTGGTGGCCTGCGCCCCAGGAGGTACAAGGCATGAGCAGCCACTGCAGGGGCAGGTGACCCTGCAGCCATGCCCAGAGGAACCTGGGAGGCACGCCAGAGCCTGTGGGCTTGGGGCTTGAGTAATGACCGCTGCCACGCCTTGGGATGGTTTGTAATTATGAAATATTTCACACATACAAAACATATAATTAGGGGGCACCTATGTAATAAAATAGTAAAAAGAATACCAGGACTCCGCCTGTCGATCCCAGAGTTAACCACCATTTGGTCTTTGTGCTTATTATGCCCTCGCTTTGTTTCTGGAGCAGCCTTCTGCTGCCCCTGGGCTGCGAGTCCTCTACGGAACCCAGCGTGCGATGTTGTTTGGTTTCATGCTCTGTAAAGATGCTGTCCTGTTCCGTAACTTGCTCTTTTGCTCTTGGTGTTCTTGGATTTGTCCTTGTGGCGGCCTTTGTTGAAGGCTGTGATTTCTTCCTTGTCTCTGGTGTGCAGTGCTCTGGGGTGTGCTGGTAACATCCTTGTCGGTCCCCGTCAGTGTATCATCCCTCCGGCGCCCACACTGTGATGAACAAGGCCGCGTCTGTGCTGTTGGGATGAGCAGGATTTCTGAGGATGACTCAAGATGGCTGTGGGCCCCACCCCCTTGAAGTGTCCTAAGGGCCCCTGAGTTTCTTCCCAAAGGCCACCTGCTGCTGCCTGGAGTCATGGTTCCCGCTGTTGGGACAAACGAGCAGGAATCTCGCAGCCCCACTGCGAACACGGAAGCCGGTATGTCTAGTTTTCCATCTGTTGCCATCTGACAGGGCTAGCCAGATCGCCGGGGACAGGAAGCTGGCTGGTGGCTCAAGGAGGGCCTAAGCATGCAAAGCTGAAACTGTTGTTAAGAGATTGCTTGGTGAGCATGGATTTGGAATCAGAGAAGGGGAAGTCATTAAAAGGTCAGCCTTCATGCCCTGGAAAAGAGCTGAGAACTGTCTTGGTTCCATTCTTGAGCCTACCTCTCCAAGGCTGAGAATATCCACATGTCCCAGATCTGTGTCTCCCGCACAGGATGAGGCTGGACCAGTTCTGTGAGTTTTCACCGCCCATCTCCATCCATGATGACCTTGCGTAGGCTTTGGACACCGTAATAACAACAGTTGGTTTGCATTTAAGGCTGTATGATAGGAATCTCTTATCCTCATGAATGTTTTTTCACACTCTGAGTTCCTGGTACCTAGTATACAACCTGTTCTACCTTATTCCAGAAAGGCAAAGAATGGGCTGATGATAAAACACCCACCTGTATGTATGAATGAACAGCAATGTAAAGATCAGAAACTACATGGATATAGGGGGAGAACACTGTACCTGTCACCTAGTCAAGAGTGTAACTAGAATGATTTTTATGCTTCCTGGGAGACCTTGCACAGAGGAAAACACATGGGCTGGTTTGATTTGAAAAATGGTTGATTCACACATCTGGAGTTTGAAAGGGCAATCAGGAACCCGGTGAGCACAAAGGATTTGGTTGTTCCTAAAGAGTTGTATTAGCAAACAGTTGTGACATTTTCATTTCAAACACATTACTAGTAAAAAGAAGCTAATTCTCATTCTGTGTGAAAGAGCCTCAAAAACACAGAATCTGCTTTTGTTAGGAATTGCGAGTGATCTCTCCCTGGACAATGCCACTACCAGGCAAAGTTTCCACAGTTTAATTCAATAAGCATTGATTGAGCATCTATTGTATGCCAGTGTTAGGTTCTGCAGATACAAAGTTTATAAAATGTGATGCCATCCCTCAAGGAACTTACACTGTAGTTGGGCAAAGGGACAAAGAGGTCAAGGATAGCTTTGTAGTTGGGACTCGCAGGATTGCCTGGGACTGGGGAAGTCCTTGGCCTGCTGTGGGGCTTCAGGACAGGCAGTCTTCCTGGAGGGGGTAACCCCTGAGCCAAGCCTTGAAAATGATTTCTGGTCTGGTCTGCTTGCCGAAGTGGTGAATGTGTGACGCTGAAGTTGGAGTTAGAAGCCCCAGATCTGATTTTCATCTCTGTAATTAACCTGCTGTGTGACCTTGGAAAAGTCCTATTCCCTCTCTGATTATCAGTCAATTCCCAGGTTACACGTGGGAGAGACGATCACTAGCATTCCGCAGTATGATTGGACTTGAGAAATTCATCCACTGGGAAGGAAGACAAAGCTCGGTGGAATACACGATTAAAGTAAGTGAGAAGTAAGTGTGATGTGTCAGGTGCTTAGAAAGGATGCGAGCACCAGCCAAACCCCAGTAACATCAGTGAAAAGTCAGCGCAGAAAACCTGTTCTTGGCAGGTTGAAAGAACACTCGTCTTTCTCAGGAAGCAGTTTTCTTCTGGGGAATCTGTTTGAAAGGAAGCCTGCAAAGCTTGCAGACCCCGTTAGGAACCCAAGGGGCCTTCACTCTAGGGCCCACGCAGAAATCCCGAGCTCTAATGAAAGGGGCGGGCCTGGGACTGCGGCGGCAGCCAGTGAGAGAGCCTCCCGATGAGGTCATGGAATTCCTCGGCGCTTCATTGGCGGACCCCCCTCCACTCCCTCCTCAAGGCTTCCGCACCGACCTCCCAGCAGGCGGTGGGCCTCCAGCGGGACCGCGGGAGCCAGGGCTGGCCCGGGGTGGGGGGGTTCCCCAAACTTTCTCCGGGTATTTACGGACGCTGAGCAGTGAGCGAGCCCTGCCATGAGTGGGACCCGGTCTCCTCCTGCGGGGAGAAATGAAAATGCCCAGAATAAAAGGGCTCTTAAAAAAATAAAAATAAGAAATAAAATAAAAGGTCTCTTACCCATCCAGAAGCTAGATTCTGACAAAGCCATTTTCTCCAAAGTGGAGGGCTTGTTTTGTTTCAATCCAAACACACTGATTGATTAACCATTTTAACCATTTTAAGACACTGAACCAACTTATAGTGGCTGGACACCTTTCTGGTGTTCTGAAACATTTTAAAACCATGATTCTCCAAACCCTGGTGTCCAGAGGGATCCAGAACATTGGTTGCCCATGCCTACCCTGACTCCAGTCCTGCCGGCTCCAAAACCTGCAGGTTGAAGAAATTGGCAGGGCCAGGGAGCTGGACCCCACTTTGGTAACCAAAGCATTTAAAGCATCATCAGAACTTGTTAGAAATGCACTCCATGCAGGTAGCTCTGGTGCTCACTTAGGTGTGAGAATGGGTTTAAATCAACTCCCCTCAAACGTTGAGACTGCTTCAGAACAGTGTGGATTCTTCACTCTTAGAATCCTATGGCTGGAGAGGGCCCCCTAGTCCAGTCCCATCTTGGAGGTAATTTTGGAGTGCTTTCCTGTTCTCACCATTGAACTCCTGGGGCCCAGCTGGGCTCCAGGCATCTGCCGTGGTTGGGCTACAAGTAACTGGACCAGCGATGCCCATGTGACCAGCACTTTCCTGGAAAATGATTGTGACAGTCTCTGTGAGTGAATCAACTAAGGGTGAACTTGGTACCCAAGGGCAGTCCTATTCTGCTGTGTGGCCGGGACAGCAGAGGAAACCAGTCTGCAGAAGGGAGAAAGACACGTAAGGAGTGGAGGTGGAAAAAGAATCAGTACCTAGATGCCCTCCAGGCCCCTGCCTCCTTCTCCGACTTCATGCAGACCACCTGCTCTGGCTGATGGAACTCGGGGCACACTGGGCACAAGCAAGCATAAGCTGTTCCCATCCGAGGTTTTGCACATGTCACTCCCCCCGCCTGGAATTCTTAACCTTTATCTTTCCCAAGCTCCTTCATTCCCGACAATGAGGAAAGTTCTTAAATGTCGCCTCCTCGGGGCGCCTGGGTGGCTCAGTGGGTTAAAGCCTCTGCCTTCGGCTCAGGTCATGATCCCAGGGTCCTGGGATTGAGCCCTGCGTCAGGTGCTCTGCTCGGCGGGGAGCCTGCTTCCCTTCCTCTCTCTCCGCCTGCCTCTCTGCCTGCTTGTGATCTCTGTCAAACAAATACATAAAATCTTAAAAAAAAAAAAAAAAAGTCACCTCCTCTGGGAGTGGCGCTTTAAAAGAACCCCTCCCGCAGCTGCACTCCATCATGTTAGCCTCCTTTCATGTGTTCATTGCATGTGATATCTTGTGTGCCATCACAGGTATTCATGTGCTCACTAGCTCACCATAAGCTCCTTGAGAGCAGAGATCCTGGGGTTTGTTCATCACTGGATCCCAGGGCCTTGAAATAGCCCAGCACCTAGCATGGTAGCTCAGTAAATGGTAGTTGAAGAAAAGATCACTTTCCCAACCTTCCTGAGGTCCAGCTGCTTCCAGCCCTCAGGTTGCAGGAGACCCCCAGGCCCCCTTCCCCAGTCTTGATCTCAATACACCCCTCTATATGGATTCCTGATGTTTGTCACACAAGCACCCCAGAGGGGTTCACCTTTGTTTTGCAGGCAAGAAAACTGAGGCCCAAGTGACTTGCCCAGGGGATTGTGTGGCCAGTTAATGGAACAAGGGGGACAGGAGAACTAAGCTTTCGGGCCACTGCTGGGTCCCCAGGGTACTCCTTCTCATGATCTGGGGTCGCTCCCCACAGCAAAGTAGTCAACTCAACCTCAGCCCTTTTTGTCTCCTTGTATAAGCTTTTAATAAATCAGTTTCATTTTCAAAACGCTGCCCAGAATAGTGTGCGGTCAGCAGAAAGATGCTGTCAGTACTGTCCGCTGTAGGAAGTTATTTTCTGATGAACTCTAGTGGGATGGGTGGTTTAAACATCTCTGTTGCTCCAGGAGCATGACAGAGGTCGCACTGGTCCTCACTCCACCCAGGTTCCCCTTTTTTAGGATGTAAAAGGATATGATCCAAGGTTCCACTTCTGAACATTTATCCAAAGAAAACAAAAACACTAATTTGAAAAGATATCTGTACCCCCATGTTCAGTACAGAATTATTTACAGGAGCCAAGAAATGGAATCGACTTAAGTGTCCACAGAGAGGTGAGTAGATGAAGACGTGGTGTATATAATAGAAGATCATTCAGCCATTAAA